GGGGGGGGCACAAGAGCTTTTTTATTTCCCCTGTCACAGAATAGTACATCTCAGCACGGGCTTCCTAGGGTCTTAAAAACCCAGGCATCCCAGTGCCTAGACATGGCAGCTCCTTTCTATCTGATATAATGTGCTGTAATGGAAAAAGTTGTCAAGCAGTCATTCTCCTTGAGAGAGCTTTTCCATGCGATGTAAGGAAGGATTACTTCTGCTTGGGAAGGAATTCTGCAAAGTGATTTAACTTCAGTTGTATTAAGGAAACACTCCTTAGGTTATCCTGCATCCCAAATCTTTCTCTGCAAAGCCACAACATTTATATCCTTTGACATTATGCTGCTGCCTGGCTGTGTACTGATCGCACCTTCTGGGTAGACTCCTCTGTACTTAACCAGGGCTACTCAACTTTGGAAGCCCTGGGGGCCACAATGATGAAGCACATGATGAGGGCTGCAACTTAAGTGTGGTTGCATATATGTGCAAATATATATGCAAATAGCTTCTTTCACACTGATGAGCATGAATACAAAGATTAAGGCAAGACTACAACACGCAGGCCCCGTTTAAGTCAGTTCTGCTGATATTAATAAAATGAAATATTTACCTAATTTTCACCCATATGACAGCACTTTTAATGAGCAATGACAGTCAGAGAATTTAACTACTAAAAGGCATATCAACAGAAGACCATTATATTGACTACTGTTTTGTTATGGCTCCCACGCAAAGGCCATATGTCGAGCCCTGCATAAACCCAAACTGCACTGGGGCCGCTAATAAACAGGTCATGGGCCACATGCAGCAGACGGGCCATATCCCTGCCCTAACCTGTAGGCAAATGGTACCCACATCACATGCCCACCTGTCTCTTGAACTCTGGCGAGTTACGTTTCACTGAACTGAGTCTACCCGCCCCCAGTCTCTAGATGTCCCACGTGGAACGCTCCACCCCTCCCAGCATTCAGAATCTTGGTATCTTCCACACATGGTAACCCGCGACAACTAACCTGTTGCGCGGGAAGTGAATGACAGCTCCTTGAACCAATGGGAGAAAAAAATGGCGACAAGCACCGCCTCCACCATCGCACGTGGAAGAGTCCAGCGCAGGATGGGGGAGCGGTGGAACAGTGGTAACTCTGAAGCATGGGCAGGGGCTGCTGAGACCCTAAATTTCATCCCTATTCCAGCTCTTCCGTCATTTCGTGTGTTCCTCCCCCCATGGTTACCATGGTTTGCTCCCTTCCCCTACCTCGTTAAAATGATGGAACCGTCATAAGGGGAAATAATATACGTCACCCCGTACCTGATTGGTTGGGGAAGTAGCTGAGCTGTTTATGACCGTTAGTTCAACCGGCCGTGTGGGGGCGAACGGCCGTTTTCGGATGCGCCAAGTCTGGCTGGTGCCGTCTCGCGGGGAGCACTAGGGAGGCGGCGGGGTGGGTAGGGCGAGCGCGAGCTCAGTTTCCTCAGTAAGCCGGGCCCCAGTCAGCCGCAGCGAGCCGGTAACGGGAGCTGAGCCGTCGCCATGTCCGGCAAGAGTAAGCCTTTGGCTAGCTGCAGCTGCCCGGAGCTGGCCGCGGCGCAGCCAGTCGCAGCGGGCGGCCGAGGTGCTTCAGCTCGACTGCCCCAGGAGGCGTCTGAGCAACAAGGAAGGAGCCGCAGGGCTAACCCCCGCCAGGGGGACCCTGCCATTGTCAAGTCTCCCAGTGACCCCAAGCAGTACAGGTGAGGGAGAGCGCCCACACTTAAAGGGGACCCCCCCAGCACCGCGGGATGGGAGGGGACTCAGTGGGAAGGAGGGAGCCCCAAGAAACACAGGGATGGTGTAGAGAGGAGCCAGGCGCTTTCCGAAGGAGCCGCAGGGCTAACCCCCGCCAGGGGGACCCTGCCATTGTCAAGTCTCCCAGTGACCCCAAGCAGTACAGGTGAGGGAGAGCGCCCACACTTAAAGGGGACCCCCCCAGCACCGCGGGATGGGAGGGGACTCAGTGGGAAGGAGGGAGCCCCAAGAAACACAGGGATGGTGTAGAGAGGAGCCAGGCGCTTTCCATGCGGTGTAGAAGCAAACTGGATTCCCCCCTCTTCCCCCCCCCC